TGAACTGTAGGTAATAGGTGGTATGTTGAGTTTGCTAGTCCGCTCCACTTCGTCTCATCACCTTTTCATCAGCATTTAACAAAATTAATGTAACTCAGGTGTTGGTTCTAGGAGGGATACTTCAGTAAAAAAAAAATTAAATACCAGTAAACTTATTACAATAATATGGCAATTTTAGTTGCTTTCCTGATTTGCAATTAAGGGCCTGTGCTTTGCAATAAATATATATAGAGAGAGAGAAACACTTTGGACAGTCTCTGCTTCTCAACTTATTTTAACACTATAGCTATCCAAAAGATGCTTGGAGAACTACAGAACATTTTCTTAGCCTACTGATCTTTTCCTTCCTTGCAGCATTTATTGCTACCAATGTAATCAATCCACCCGTACACAAGAGGTCACAGATTTGTTTTATTTGAAATCTGAGTTGTTGCTACATGTTGTACACACCACATGCATTTTCAATCAATGGTGCTTCAGACGACGTGGAGAACTCCTGTAAGCTGGACAGTGCCAGTTGTAAGTCTATGCCGTAACCCGACTGGCCCAAAGATTGTTCAATCAGCATGACTGTGTGCGGCCCGAGTCTCGTCCTTGGTCTAGACCCTGTGGGGCTGCAGTGCTCAGTGCAGACAGCACCTGATCAGTTCAGGCACGGCTCTGGGTCCATGGGACTTGACAGTGAACCCTCTTCATCTGGGGGTGACATCGGGGCTTTTCAAGTCAAGTCGAGTTGGTGGACAAATTACAATCCCAACTGAGCCATATATTTAAAAAAGGAAAACGAATGGGCTTTTCATTAAGTCAATATAAATCCCAGTATATACATCAGCATATGTATTGGCCACCTGAATCTGTAATGGTTGTTGACCAATTCATTGAATGATCAACTGCTGTTCATACGAGATACAAGCTACTATCTGAACTTTCTCATTCAGCACTGTAATGGTGGAGGGTCAATACTTTCTTAACGATGAGGGATTCCAACGGCTGCCTACTGCTTGTGTAGAAGTACAGCATTCAAACAACAGCGCTACAACCTCCTTTGGCTGCTACGGCAACCTTATTGTTTCTCCTAGTATTTAATACTTCATTGCTGGAAAAGGGAGGAAAAAAAAAACCTATACAGCACCATCACAAATGTGTTTTAATGTGAAGATCATATCTGATGCGTGACTAAAACTTGAGGCAATGGACAACAGAAATCATCCGATCATACCAGGTCAGCTAGATTAACACCTTTTTTTGCTTTGACACTGAATAGCATTGACAAAATATTAAGCCAAAGTTAAAATTGTATAGTTTTTGGTGGACATGTTTTCATCTCGGGCAATGAGGCTTAATCCCCTTTCAAAAATGCTGAATGCAAGACATCCCAGTGAAAACGGACTTGTTCTAAAAATGTTTCAATTGCCTCAGCTTCAGCACTTCCTTAAAACACATCCCTCCTCTTATTACAAGTATTTAATTTTTGGCTTTTGCAAGTGTTATGGATCTCCACAGAACCTAGCTTCTGCTGCGGTCGCACCTTTGTGTAAATGACATCATAAATTCTCTATAAAGGAGCTGTGTAGCTCACCAAAGAGGAGAAAAAAAAAGTATTTTGCTGAAGTGTGGCCTTTCTCTTATTCTTTTAACCAGAAATATGAGTTTGACAAGAACCATGCAGTGCTGCTGCCTTTAATTGGACTTTGAAGAAGACAGGAGAGTCAAACACCATTTTCAGCTCTTTTCTTTACTGAAAAGCAGAGTGGAAAAGAGTCAACTTCATACCTGTGAAACAGCAACCATTTTCGTGCAATATTGATCATACCAAAATACAACAGGAACAAGAGAAAAATCATTTTCATTTTTTTTTTACAAAAAAATAACTGCAGCCATCAATAGTGCATTCTAAGATGAAATGTCATTTTAATATGAAACGTGTGTGGCTGTATGTACAAGAGAAATAGGGAATCTTTTTTTTTTTTTGCTGAAATAGCAGAACTGTGGCCAATAGCAATTGTCTGTGCATTAGATCTTAAAGTATATACAGGTGAAGTAACAGCATCATCACAACCCTCCCAGAGTGCAAGAAAGAAAGGAGATGAGACCAAGCAAAATGACAAACATGTACCTGATAAGCAAACCCCACTTCAATTTCTCAACTAGAGCTAATTGGGATCAACTGAAGGTTATGAAGTCCTTGAGTGTGTCGTAGTACGTGGCGGAAGGAGACAACTAAAACAGGGATAGTCTCTGTATTAAATCTTGAGAGAGAGAAGTGTTTTATAACAGAAGAGCTGGTTAGACTTGGCTAAAATTGAAAGTTAACCTTGTAAAATACACACTGGATACTTACAGTGTGAGCGCAACTAACATTTTCTCATTTAACATAAAAAATATCAATCTGTAGGATGGGTGAACTACAACTGCAGAGCTGTCGTCTGGCTCTTCCTACTGTCCTACTAGGCTGTGAAGGAACGGTGGCTTCCTTACAGCTGGCAATTTAGCTGTAAATGTCCAGTCCAATACAACGCATTTGGGGGAAAAAAGTGGTTAGTAAGCCCATCACCCCTCCAGGAATCTCAGGATATTCTGTACTTCTGGAGGGAACAGGGATCTGCAGAGCTGGATGAGGTGGGTCCCATTCTATTTGGGATGAAAAGCGCTGTGTAGATGCCACAAATTAGTAGCTCAATTAAATGTTCCCCTTTCCCCCTGACTGCATGCCTGCATTGTACCATGCATGCTGCTGGGAAACAAAGCAGCTTTAACGCAAGAACTTGGGAGTCGCAGATTCCGCATGATTTTGCAGGATATTTCACCGATTGGCACCTTCTGGTGTGTCACTCTTTTTGAGTTACCCTGAATGTTGTGAAACAAGTCCAACTCCAGGGTTGTGTTCTCAACAACGAGTCCCGAGTACCCTCCCTGTCAGTCTGACGCGTGATCGAGTAGTTTAATACCCACATGGCTGCACACAGTACCATACTGGCGTCCTCACTTATATGAAGATATAAGATTTACCACATAAAGCAGGATAGGTTTTAAAATCAGGTGCTGGTTAGACCACAACTTCCGACTGGCAGACAGATCAAGAGCCTGATGTGGTGCAACATTTGGCTTTGTGCAATGTAAGACGACTTTTTGTTTTTGACAAACCATTTATCGAGGTCCTTGGCGATATTAAAACCCCAGAGCAGAGTACCTCCTGGGTCAAGGATCCAGTCTATGTGACCTCAACACATGATCTGCGCTATTCCACCAATTTGCTATGTGAGTCAATTCAAAACAGGCTACTGCTACAGAACTAACAGTTAAGGATCCACAGTGATAACACCGTGGAGATCAGCTACCAGCGAAGAGACAGGAGTAAATCTATGACACATTCAATACATACCTGTTGAAAAATAGCAGTACATTGCAGTTCTGGAAAGCAAAAGGAAATTGAGAAATACTCTTACAAGTATTGGTCACATTGTCTTTACATACATATAAAAAAAAACTATAGGGTTAGTTATCTCAACCGTAACCACAGTTCAAATTTATAGTGATTCTTTACAATATTACGTAAGAAAAAAATTAAAAGTATTTCCCCGGTTTTAATTTACACAGACTTTAATAGCTTTATTTACAGAGCAATTTGCGTTTTTTTTAAGTTTTGTCTTTTTCCAGTCTCAACTTGCAGCTAGTTAGCATTATCAGGAATTACACAGTGCCGTGTTCTTTTTAAAAGGGAACCTAGATGTTATACTAAAAGAAAAAAAAAAAAGAAAAAACGAGGGCAGATGGGCCAGTTCGAAGGAGGGATGGGGGGAAGGGCAAGCCTACAGGAGCAGCCTTCATGAATTGCTCAGTTACTCAGAAGTAGCTCTGTCGCACTCTCCACATCCCATGATTTCGAAGACAAGGCCACTATTACTGCGTTCTGTGGGGAGAAAAATAGAAGAGGCAGGAGTTATAGCACTAGTACTGCAAACACTACAAGGTTATTTTTTCTACCAGTGCCAAAAGTGCCGTTCGCCCCGAGTTGTTTCGAACCCATCCTGGAGGGGGCGATAAAGAAACTACCCCAAGCCCTACAGGACCCCAGTGAATTTGGGCGGACATGTTTGAGGGACCCCAGGACCCAGGGAGATACAGGAAATGCAAAAAAGGATGTATGACATTACAAAAGTAGCTCAGAGGGTGCAGAGCATAACGCTAAACAGTGACTTGTCTGCAATTTTATTTTTAGAATCACCCATTATTTGCCTTTGTACACATTTCTCCATTTTGGAAATGGAGAATTTCTACTCAATGAGGTTTTCTGCTGCAAACAGGAGACAGTTAAGAGCAAGAGTGAGCAGTCCTGGTCCGGGTGTACCAGTGTGCCAGCAGGTGTTCATTCTAACTCGGCTCTTAACGAGCTCAATCAGTTCATTACTGGGTTAATGAGACCCCTTTTAACACCCCTTTCCAGCCCTTCAAGTGTTGGTGCTTTCAAGAGCCCTAGGAATCCCACAGGCACCTCGCGGGAAGGACAGGTGCACAGGAACGGCACTGGAAGCAAACTGGCCCAGTCACTGGGGTTCACTGGTGCTCAATCAGGCTGACGACAGGCTGGTCAGCTTCAGAACCAGCCCAGCCCCACCAGCTGTGTGGTGAGAATGTCCACAGCGTTTCTGTCATTCTTCGATTACCGAGATTCTTTTTCAACAAAGGTCAGGGAGCATTGCCGCACGTTGTGCTTACTTTATCGAAGCCCATTGCACACAGTTTGTCTATTTTTCGGGTGTATTCGGGACTGGAGACAGGCGCCCCAGCGTACACGTGCGCCCAGAGTCGTGCCGTCTGTTTAAACATTTCTGGATTTTGCTTGTACTGTGAAAAGAGCAAGAGTGTTCATTAAATACCAAGGAGAACTGTGAAAGCTGACAGACAGGAGGGGAGGGTACTGCATGCACAGCACTCTCTATATCCCACATAGCAAATCCTGTTTTTGGTGTTTGTGTGTCTTTAGCAGAACGTTTGGAAAATGCGGACATTTTTTTTCATTAAAAGTCACACAGACCTCAATCATACAAAATCTGAGTCTGGAATCGCACCCAGACAACAGGGGGGAGGGGAGGTGGGGAACAGGGACAGAAACACAAAGCCTGAGGCAGGGCAAGACCGAGATGGCAGGAGATGAGGACATGGACAGGGAGGGAGAGGGTGACCACAACGGAGGTGGAGAAAGGGACAGAGAGAGGCTGGAACGGTGAGGGAGCACAGAGAGACAGAGAGACCGGGGACAGACAGAGAGACAGAGCCCGAGAGCCCTACCTGGTTCGCCACCACTGCGTCTTGTGGATCGTCTGGCTCTGCCGCCGCAAGCAAGGCTTGTAACGATAATAACACTGTCCTGAGGGTCATTGCAGCTGCCCTGCAGGGGTCAGAGCAAAGCATTTGACACAGGTCACTTCGCAGGCACTGCGGCAGCAGTAGTTTCAGATCGGACAGACCAGCCCCTGTGCAGTGATATACTGTATCAGAAATATACCGTTAGGGAGCACGCTTTTGCGACACAGGACTCCAACGAAGAACCTGATGAAAAAGATTTAGCCACTCCTACTCTATTCCTCATCATCCTTACCTCATATAATAAAAGGAAGAAAAATGGGCAGCATCTGAAGTTTTGAGAGAAGTATGGAATCACTTGAGTGCAATACTACTAAAACCACACAACACACCGGTAGATCTGCATCTAGACCACTCATCACTGCGTTACAAGCTGCCATCTTGAAAAGATTTCTTATGACGGTAACAGGAAACGGTTCCTGGTGTCAAAGGAAGATCACCCACAGATCGGTTAAAGGAACTGGTATCCCTTCAACAGAGAAGACCGCAAGGGGCTTTGATTCAAGTACTCAAAGTCCTGGAAGGTGCCGACAGCGCATGGGGACCACTTCAGGCTTCACAATAAAATAAAATCTGACACGAGGTCGCAATTTCTAAATTAAGAAAACATGCGTTGAAGGCGGAACTACTGTGGTATTTTTGTATTGCAGGGTTAGAAAGAATCATGAGTAAATTTCAAACCACAATAAAAGTCAAATGTACACAGAAACATGTAAAAAAACCCTCCAATTTACAACACAAAATAGATGAAATTTCCTGTTACTTGCAGCCCCATGTTCTGCGACTCAGAAAGGCAACAAAACCTCCGGCGAAATGAGGCAGCCTTATTACGTTGTTAACAAGCAGGCTTGTGAAAACATCCCTTTTAATCCAACAGAGATATTGCTCTCGACTTCAAGACAGTTTTGCTGACAAATACTACTTGCTTGTTAACTCTGCACACAGATCACCTTTGTGGGGCGATCAGGATGTGCTGCACAACCTGTGCTCATTTATTCGTACATCACGTTACGTTAGACATGACAGGGACTAGTGAGCAGGAAGGGCCGCACCACGTCACAGGTCATGCGAACTCTCGCTCTCGCCGTGGCAAAACCAGTGGCTTGAGACAATAGAGGCGATTGTATAGTACTGTCACAAACTTAATTTTGTGCTAAATTCGAAATTTGTGAACATTTTCTATACCATCCATGATTTTATTTTGTTATGAGATTGAACAACCATCCCTTTAAGGGAAGACAACACACCGTCAGGATGCCTATAACAAACTGCACTACCTTCAGCTTGTACAAAGAGCTTCACATGATCTTTGCCCAAAAAAAAAATGAAACCAGAGAAAGCAGCTTGTCCCACCTTATACTCGGTGAAAGCTTGCTTTAGTTTTGCTCCAGAGACTACTCAGTAAAATGTCCTGCGGGAATTCTTTGGGCAATCGTGGTCATTCTGAGCTCCCTCCCATACTAATTATTCTGTAATTTGGGTTTCACAGAGGTTTAAAAACAAGATTTAAGGTATCCAAAGACAAGCAAAGGTCCATCTGATCAGACATGTCAAGAGAAAATGGTTAAACAAACCAAAACAACCGTAGAATTGCTCAGCTAATGCAAAGAAGTTGATCTTTTTCTGAATTCATTTGCCTCCTAGAGAATTTTATGGAGCTGTGTGAACATATTATTTTTTTCCCAAAACAAACTTTGTTTGAACATAGTACACCAGGGTACAAAGGCGAAAAGTGAAGTGGTGCAGATTGAAAGAGCTCTCTTTTTCTTTAAAAATCCAGACCACAACCAGATTTCACGGGCTCCTACAATACTGCCCAGTTATTCTGCATTAACCTAACAGTCACAGAACAACACAGCTATTGCTGCTACGCTGAAAAGGGATTCATGAGAGGCTCTTGATTTCTGGGATTGTGGCCAAGGAACCCTGCTGATAATCAATTACAATTCCAGGGTGATCCCCAATGAAAACCTACAGAGGAACGTACAGCGAGAGAGTTACAACTATATCCAAACAGATCCCCTGTAACTGATATGTTAATAGCTAACGGGGAAAGGAAATTAATACCAGCAAGTAAAGGCTAGAGTTATTTTTCCATGCTATAAAAATATCTTCCAAAAGAAGATCTTAAATATGTTCTAGGAACTTACCATTGATCTTTTAGAATGTCCAAGCATATTGCACCAGTGACCGAGCTAATATTTGGATGCCATATTTTAGTGATAAATCGAACCTGAAACACAAGGAAAGACAGTTACACAGTCATATGTACAAAAAGTCCATTGACACTGAAATGCACAGATCTGACTCTGGATGTACAGAGACGTAAGATGTACAGTATTGCACTGACGTTTAACTTTCATAAATGAACTGGTCCTCAGCTGTCCATAACGCAGACAGCTTTCAGGCTACAAATGCAGCTAAAAACACTACTTGCAAAGTGTCTGATATGGACTTAACCCACATAGTTTTTGGAAGAGGGTAAATCAGTCAGCTGCCCAAAGACACAAAACGTGTCTCTCCTAAGTTGAAGGTGTTGCTTTAACTAGACTGTCCAGACACTATTTTCTGTTCAGTCAGTGTAGTTTAATTATGTTCCATGGTAGTTTAATCATTTCTGATTGCCGGTGCTCTGTGTCTTAGCTGCAGAGTCAGGCCTCACATAGAGCAGGCTGGCCACACTCCTAGAGGATACAAGCATTGATTTCAGAACATACGATTTTGGGGTTCCCCCTATACTGTACGTGCAATAAGCAAACTTCAATTCTCTTACATCTGGGCCAAAAAAACTTACACGCATCAGAAAAAGCATAATACCTTAGGTGACAGTGTGAATAATCACCACTGCAAGCTGCAACAGACAGCCTGCAAAGTGACTTAAACCCTCACATGACCGGGACTGGCTGAACAGGACATACTCTGTATTTACACCTACCTTTGGAGGATTAAATGGATATGTTTCTGGAATTTTTATTTCTAGCTGATATCTACCACCTGTCGAAAAAGCACAAGAGAAAGGGGAGGTTCGGTTAATGCACGCAGCTATAACACCTATGCATTCTCAAAAAAAAGAATTCATGATGTATAAAAATGTTGCTTAACATATAACCACCCTGCCACCACATTACAACCTCATCAGATCAAAGAAGCTCAGCAAGGCTGGGCCTAGTCAAGTTCACTTTGATTATTGCTGTAAATGGCACTGTTAGAAGCAGTACGTCCTTCCTTTTAGACTAAAATAGGTGTCTCCAACTCCTGGTGTCCTGGAGAGTCTCAGTGCAGTTCTTCTTACAGGTCACCCTAGATCCCCTGTTATTTCAAAGACTGGGAACACTTGTTTAAGCAACTGATCAATTCACAAGAAATGTTTCAACGAAGGAAACACCAGTCCTTGAGGCTGAACAAGTTCCAATTACATGTAAGGTTCTCAAAACAATTATTGGACCAAACTTTTGGATCAACTATGAAAAAGTATATCCTTGGGAACACTCCACATGGATTTAGAAAAGGAAGGTCATCCCTAACCAACCTGCCACGGGTTCTTTAAACAAGCAACAACAGCAATGGATACCCACAGGGCATATGATGTGGTTTATTTAGATTTTTGCAAGGCTTTTGAGAAAGTTAATCCTTAACAAGGAATTGTCAAACTACGGAGAACAGACATTCAGGGAATTGAGAGTATCTGGATTGAGAATGAATTAGTAGAAAATGGATAAGGTCATGATTAGGAATGAATATGAAGTTAGTGGAGTACCACAGGGATCTATCATTGGGTCTGCTGCTTGACCCAATGATCTAGATTCTGATACAGTTAATAAACTAGTCAGATACCAAATTAGCAGGATTAGCAAACATTATAGGAGCAGGAAATTAAATTTGAAAGGACTCTGATAAAATCCAAACCTGGGAAAACATTTGGAAGATGATATTTAATACAGACATGTGCAGATTTGTGCTTGCAGGCAGCAAAAATATTAACATAAAAATACATCATTTACATATTTTAGACAATGTTGGGAAACAAACAGGCAAGCAAAATATTGTAATATGTAGTTAAACATCTTCATTTGGAATACTGTGCATTTTTGTGGTCGACAAGCTTTAGAAAATATATTGCTTTTCTTGAATTAGTCCAGATACACTGCAGGATTTAGGAATGTCCTACACTGACTGGCTGAAGGAACTGAATGTTTTTAGTTTCGGGACGATGATGGACGGATGTGATACAAGTATTTAAAATCCTCAAAGACACTTAGAAAATCAACCCAGATTTCTTGAGACTGTGCAAGGGAACACAAACCTGAGGACAGATGTGGAGACGCAGTAAAAAAAGTGTCGTTTCCATTGAATCACCTCAGAAAACACAACCTACACCGAGTGAAACCTGCGCATGAAACCTAGAAGGATTTGGTTGAATTTCAACACGGGTTACAGACAAACGCCTCAGTGTGGCACTGAACATTTTTTCAGTAAGTGCTTCCAGTCTGTGGGACTATTTCTCAGTACGTGTCTGGTCTGGACAGCTGGAATTTCCTCATTCTTATTTATCATCCAGGGCACACCTTAACATAAAACAAACATTTATACAATGTTATGTTAGAAATATAAATAACTCTAAATATAATAATGCTAATATATCACAAAGAGTGCGCCTCTCACGCTTAACGTCTTATTCTGTGGTTCCTAGCACTTTCTATGATGTTCTGTATTTCACTCTACCTTCTTAATTTGTCTGGCCTGCTGACAAATTTCAACGCAGTCCTTGACAGCAGGCGCGTTGTATTATTCTGAAGAGTACTGTGACAACATCGGTGTCAACACACATCAAATGGAGGACGGAGATCAGATGGACACAGCCAGCTTTCCCCAGTTCACCACCACGCCGCCTTGACTGAAGCAGGGTCCAGTCCGAGACACAAGGGGGCGCCAATCCCACCTGCAGCTACACGTGTCGCCCAGAACAAGGAAGTCGAGAAGAAACCTGCCCTCCCCGACTACTACGTGAAGCAGGCAACCACAAAAAAAAAAAGGCAAAATGGTTAACAGGAAACCTCTGTCCGTGTTCACCCGGACATCAAGAGACGCAGAGCTGATGTCGGAGCTGGCTCGGGACACGGGACAGAGCAAGTCGTGTTTCTGCTCTGCAGGAACTGGCCCGTCTTGGGGGGTCTCTGCAGCCCCCTGGTTGGAACTGACTGTGAGGCTCCAGCACAATAAGATAAGATCACTTTATTAGCCACATACAATTTCTTGTATTAGGACTTAGTCTTTTCGCATACCCCAACTTGCTCTCCATGAGACACACAGACAGGGAGAGAAGCTTGGGGTCAGAGCGCAGGGTCAGCCATTGTACGGCGCCCCTGGAGCAGTTGGGGTTAAGGGCCTTGCTCAGGGGCCCAACGGAGTAGGATTCCTCTGCCGGCCGTGGGATATGAACCGGCAACCTTCCTTAGGCGCAGATTCTTAGCCACAGAGCCCCCGCTCCGCCCCAGTGGAATAAATGTGCACTGCAAGCCGTGGGGGGTGCATTGCTGTGGTCACTGACCGAGCCCCATATTCACCTTTCTGCCTGAGTGATCACCACTAAAACGCCCCACTGTCCAATCACAAATGAATTTGGACAACGCGACTTTCAAACACAGTTCGTTTTTAGAGAGCAATGGCGTTAATTACTAGTCACAAACTAAGTCACCTGTTTGAAGAACACATTTAGAATAGTTAAAAAACGAATTGCCCGGCAGATCAGGTGGAGAAACGAGAAAGTGCCCCACCGACTGAATTAAAGGGAAACATTACCCAGGCCAGACTGTTCAACCCTGAGAGTTAACACGTATTCTCTTTCAGCACGTCCCCAGTCCCCACGCTGGTCTGGAAACACAGGCTCAAATGGAAGAGTGCCACCTACTGGTTCCCCTTATTGTAGCAGCCCGGTTTTCTTTACAAATCCCCATCCCGTCTTGTGAGCCCATGCTGAAGGTTGAAGGTTCAAATACAAAGCAAGGCACTGCTGTAGCTCCCTTGAGCAAGATACGTCCCTGCTCAAGCAATGCGGCCACCATCTCAAGAATAGCATGGGCACAGCAATACAACTTCCATATGCACAGCACCCAAGGGCGTCGGACCGGATCTTCCCTGTGTTGCCTCTATTTACAGCTGCCACACGAAGCGGAAAGCTGGGGTGTCCACAAACCCCTTCCAATCTACTGTTTTAAACTTCTCTGTTCGGGGAGGAGGCTTCAGAACATCAAATGCAGTCTTGCTCGGGGCCGAAATAGCACCTATCAAGAAGAGGCCATCAAGCACCTGAGTATGTTGTATGTGTAGGTGTGATGCGTTACGTATCCTGTGTGTCAGTGTGATCTGTGTTGTTTTGATCTGGGCTGCACTGGAGCAAATTCCAAACAACTTTGTTGACATGGCAATAAAACATTGAAATAAAATACCTAGCTGTATAAATGGTGCAAACACAAGTTGCTCTTGGATAAAAGTGTCAGCCACATAATAATTCAGGCTTGCTTAGCTTCTGAAATCTGAAGGAGAAGACTAGGCACCAAGAAGGTAATGCTGCTGTGCCAAACGTTTTGAAATTCTTGTTCTGTTACTGCTGTAACTTTTACTGCTAGTGGTATTTAAGATGCGACCTTTAAGCAGTTATCGTCAGTGCTGCTGGTTTGTCATAATACTTGTCGGCTCTCGGCCTCAAAGGTTGTAAAGTCAATTTAGTCTCTACTCTTGTGGGGGCCTCTCATCTGATGAGGTAGCCCTGACCCCGTGCAAATTCACCAACAATCTTATCTCCTTTCATCCAGACATTCCCATCATTCTGGCAGAATGGCAGCTCAGGAGAAATAATCAATACGGATATCCAGTGCGCCAAACAGAACAGAAACAATATTTCTGTAAAGCACATCGTGTGGCAATACTGTCTCGTATTCAATTGCCACTTCGCTACATTTCTATTGCATCATGGACAGCGAATAAAAAGTCAAAACAAAAGTGAAAATATGCAAAATGTTTTTATTACAATCTTCTACGGTTTCAATATCGACACATCATTTCCGGGACTTAAGTGTAAGCTTGTAAAAAAAACGTGTCTCTTCTCACCAACACTTAATCTGCAGTCAGTGCATTAAAATCACATAACAGTCGAAAGACTGTGAGCACATATTCTGTTCATCACTACTTATCCACTAAGCTAGTATCCACTGTTAAACCATATTTAATATTTAAAATGATGCAAGAATTTCATACTCTTACATGACTTTAGGCCACCACTTTAACACATTAATGAAATCCCATTAATCCTCTAAACAGTGACATTTTGAAAAACGAGGTGTTAGTGACGGGGTGCTCTCGTTCTTAAAATGTCTCCCTGGTTAAAGCGCAAAGCATCTTCCAAAGAAGAGACAGCTCATTCGTCCACTACAGGCCTACACAGGTCGCCTGGAGAAAAGTACTGCCGATGTTGCTTCAAAGGGACACATCACTTCACAACCCAAGAGTCGGCCCAGCGAACTAGCAGCCCGAGAGCACGGTAGGTAAGTTTAATCAAGGAGGGAAAACACCGATTTTCATCTGCATTCGAACACAGGAAAACGTTTTCAATGAGTTACGGTGTGATAGATGACCGTCTATCTGCTGGGGCCTTATACCATGTTCACGAACCTTTCTGCAAACCTTGCAAATCGCAAACTCAATATCTGAATACTCAGCCCTTTGAAGCTAAGAATATTCGGGTACCTCATTGTGTGAACCTCCTTCATCGAGTGGAAAGAATTAAAAAGTCGGAATTCTGTTTGAGACAGATGTTTCTTTTCCTTTGTAATCCGCCCGTTCCGTGTTCCTGCTCCAGCCCTGTGACTGCTCTCTGCTGTCCAAGCTGTGATGAGCATTCCTCCGCAGAAGAACGTCAACAGAGCCGCACCGCAGGAGAACAGTTACATTTTAACTTTCATCTCCCATGGAAAGTATTCGCAAAACACACATGAAGCAAACAAAAGGCTATTATTTCCATTCTTTTCCACTGAGAATAACCGATTACTGCAACTTTTAAAGCTCGGTTCTCAGACAACCTCCTTCCTTATTCACGCAGCCCGCAGGTATGGAACGGAGATGCAGGGTGTCCGAGGAAGGACAGCACACTTCAAAACAGCTCACACAGGCCGGGCAATCCATGAGAGTCACTGCTGCACAGCAAGCAAAGAAAAACCCAGCCAAGTCTACACCCGGTTAACCAAACAGATCATAGCCAGGCAGAACCACCGATGTCCGAACCACACAGACCTATCAACTGTGCTTCGAAATGTGCTCCTTCACTGCTGAGCCTCTCGCCACGAACATTTCCAGACACAGGCGTCTGCAGAGAGAGAGGGCGCTTACCTTCATAAGGTGTGTCAGGGGGTCCTGCGATTTCTCCCCGGAGTTCTGTGAAATTCTCATCTACAAGATCGACCTTTATCTGATTCTTGCTCGTCTGCAAGAGAACATTGAAAAGATGAAATGATTTTTCTGTTTGTATCCAACTTGCATTCCTGGACTCTGGGGAGTACTGTGTATGTCTCTTTTCTGATGCAGACATCCCTGGTCCTGTTCAGCCAGACCGCAAACTATACTGGCAAGGTTCTTACTATATTGCATTGTTACAGCCATTCAAAGAGTGCACCACATGGGCAGACTATGGCACAGTCTTCCAAAAACACCGTTCAGCAGATTATATTGCTACAATAACATTTTCCACTCTTTCACCTGTTTCCTCTGATCATTCTACCATAATGTCTTCATATGGCCCCAGTGAACTTTTTGTTTCCTTATAGGAAAACCACACAATGGGTTCTGACATATTTCACATTTTAGAGTATGGACTGAAAAGTCCCTATGAAGTCTATGCCCCCTGAAGAACCTCTATCCGTCATGGTTTGTAGGAGTCTTAAAAGAGCTGCTGAAGATCACTTTGACTAATCTGGAAAGTAAATGGCTTAAATTCTTGAGAGCTGAGCTAGAACAAAACGAAAAAACAGAAAACACTGTGGCTCTCCAGGACCAAAGCCACCATTTGAATTTTTAATTGCAGTTTTTTTTTTTTTTGCAGTGTCTGCCAAGTCTCAGTTTGAGAATACTCAATCTGATCTGATTGCAAGGTTAATTCCGAGATCAAACCAGCGCATGTTTGTACTGAATCAGAGACTCCTGTCGTTCCTGCATTTCTGGAAGCCCAGTGGGTCAGTAAAGCCCTTCAGCAGCTAACTCAACTATCACAACGCCTGCAGTGGTATCGGCACAGCAATCACTACTGAGTTTCTGGAATTTTAAATGACCACGAGACGTCATCATATCCATGGCTGACTCTTTCCGATGATGCACAGATGACCGGGAGCTCTGCGCGGCCTACACCTAACTCTTACTGGGGATCCAAGATCTTCATTCTTCCACACCTCAGTGCAGCCGTCGACTGCAGGCAGGTGGCTTTTAAGGATGTCAATTCACTGGCAAAGCAAGTCCGCCCTGCTTTGTCCATTCAGGCTCTCCGTCACTTTCCATAAATGGAATCTCCTTCTTTCCTCCCCAGCTAGAGGCCGAGACCTTTCAGAACAAAATAACTCTGCAGTCCCTGGAAACTGGCAACAATCAGCTCTCAAGCCTTGCAGTCAGTTAACTCTTAATCTGTGTTGAATACACTTTTCTCCTTGACTCAAGAGTGAGGACTTCGATCTGCTGGTTGAGCTTTAAGATTTTTCTTCCTCGTGGTCAGTGGTTCTGAATTAGGCTTTCTATTACAAATTCAATTACAACTATTACTCGTTGTTATTGATTAAGGCCGATTGCCTGTATCCACTATCTTGATATATGTGATCAGTGGAGATTTTAGAATTCTATGCATTCTAGATGTTTTTATCCTAGACATTTTACTGGATATTTAATACTATTTTTGTTTGATCTTCCAGTCACAATTTTCTTTGCCCAGTTATTTCTTTGTCATGTTTTTTTCAAGCGTTTAGGTACGTACTTTTTGTACATTAGCGATAGCTACATTGGGAAACATCCTATAGCACCGTAATCTTATTTTTTCTTGTTTGTACCCTTGATGCAGACTTTGGCTTTATTCAGACTTTTCTAAACGTACATTTTAAGGGGGAGTTGAGGTAGAGACTTTCACTGTTGGCATATGATGAAAGCCTCCAATGCCATCATTGATGAACTGCCATTTTCTTGATGTTTCCCCAGATCTCAATGCTTTTGTTTTAGAATACTTTTTTTTTACTATTCTGTAACAAGTGGAAAAGAAATTACACAGAAACACTGTATGATGAAAATGTGTTTCTAACATGGCCCAGTTGAACTATCGGAGCTTTTTAAAGCTTTAAACACAAACAAGAAGAAATATGATAAAACAACAAATTACGCCTGCCTGTCCTGATGCACACTGATATGTGCAAGAAAAAAACGTTTGAACCCAAGCCCACGATGGATCCATGGATCCAATCAGCACACTGCTCTTCTTTTTTTCAGTACCTAACCGATTCTGCTGGGACTCACATCAGAATCTGTTCAATACAGTCAAACAGTGAAGCCCTGACCATCAGTCTTGTTTCAGAGATTATACTGATCTCTCAAAGACAGTCTAAACTTGATGAATATTCATTCATCCTAGAAAGCCATAATTCACGGATCACAGGATCAAACTATTGGGCAACGGGGTCCGATTTGCTTTCCCATGCTGCAATAACGGGAAAAAACGGATCATATAGGAGCATAATGCACACTGTGCTTCCTACTTGTACTGGATGGAGGACATTTCTGCTACGAATAAAAATCAAGAAAAAGGTTTTACTGCAAGATGTGTTGTCTGCTGAATGTGAATATGTCACTGGAAATGTTCTTCCTCTCTGTGTTGCATGTCCTTGCTGGTGATCGCCGAGCTAAATTAAGATCAACCCCAAGACTAAAAGTGGTTGTTCAGAGATCCAGCAACCAAGACATTCCTAAGGAGGTTTGCTTCGGGAAGGGAAGAATCAGCCTAACGCAGGCTGTTAACTCCTAGCTGCCTGTGGAAAGTCACATCCTGAAGCTGGCATCACACCTATGAGAATTTGGGACCTTCAAACGCACAGTAGTAAAGAACTGTCTTCGTCACTTTCTTATTTTGTCCGAGACGGCTTCTCAGCCAGAAAAACAAACCTCCCAAATCGTGACAAAATCACTTTATTGTAAAGAGTGTTTGTTCAATGCATGCTCTCAGATGGTATGTGTCAGCTCATGGTAGCATACACGAGATACTCCAAACCCCTTTTCTAAAAGAGTAATGTATTGCAATTTTCTTTTTTAAGTGATCTTTAAACAAATAAAATCTATTTCCATCTGAAAACACTGGCGACTAAAGCTGAAGGTAAATACAGGCCAGCACTCCTGACTGCCTCACAAAATAGGCACAGAGTAGATGTTGGCACAACAACCATGATGGAAAATGTGTCTATAGAAAGAAAAAACAGACTAAAGAAAAACAGGGTCACACTGGAGAATATGGAATTTAAAACCCTTCCTGCAATTATAGGATTCAGAAAAGAAACCATCCAAGGCAAAAGAAATGATTAAATCAAAATAATAAGGGGATTTTATTCAACCAGACAATTGTTAGAAAATTGAGATCTGAAGCAGATTTGAGAGGTGTATTTTCTAAATTTTTGTCTATTTCAGAAGCAAAATCACTTCAACAAAAGTGATGGCCTGGAAAAGAGGCTTCAAGCAATCACATCAGGATTTATGGAATACAGCGAATGCTTGAGGAAAGACAGTGAAGGTTTTGTTGCAAAATTGCTCAAAGAAGAGGGGGATCAAACGGAGAGACCCTCAACACAATTCAGACATAACAAGCTCTCTTCCCTGAAACCAATGATCCCAGAGCCCAGCCCAGATCACTGACGGTGTAGCTCCTGAACACCAGCACCAGACAAATGGTCCTGTAAGCAGTTTAGGCAAAGAAGGAAACTAGACAGAAGGCACCAAGATTGATTTTAACCAGCGCTTTTCTGCAATTACAAAAGGAGCCGAGCCTCTACAAAGTGATGTGAAAACAAATCAAGCACGATCACATTCAATCCTGAATTTCAACTGCTGTAATTAAATAGAATATAATTATATCCTGTCCAGAAGACAAGATGTAAATGTACAAGAACCCTAGATCATCAGCAAAGGGCCTGGATGAATTGACAAGATGAATTCACAATTCACCTTGACCAAGCCAATGATTAGGGAGGACACAGGGAGGAACAGTGCTGGTTTTGATTTAACCTCTGAGAAAATGTATTTCAAAGCTCACTAATCTGTGTAATGAGCATATTTTCAACGTTTACCGTGTGTTTTTGTAGAATTCTTTTGAAGTTAAACAAAGAATCTGAGTTCTTCTGTTTGATGTCACTATACTATATTATAATATTATTATATTATAGTGTATCGTTGTTGTTGTTGTTGTTGTTAGCAATATGAGGGACTGGATATCCACTGAGAAAATAAGTAGAAATTTGCTGAATGTGTGTAACACACCAGAAGACGCACAGAACGTGTGTAATGTTACAAAACTATTACATGGTGAAACTAAAGAGGTAGGTCCATAACTATCTTAACTGGAGGTTTGAACTTAGTAATGGTCTTGAAATTAGATACCCAATGCTATGTAAAACACAAATCAGATAAAACAGCGGCCAAAACAGGATAAAAAATTAGACAGTAAACTATTTTGGCTGCCTCCCACAAGGAGATTTCCCTTCTGAATCGTTTAAATGTACAAAGCACTTTCCAGAGTAGGGAGAAAAATCATATGGGATATTTAAAAAAGTAAAAGAGGAATAAAAAGACCGGCGTCAGACAGATAATGGCTCTCGAGAAGACGCATAACACCAAGGGAAAGGAAATTAAAAGGCAGGGGATAGAAGGCAGCTTCACAGGTGCCATCAGCATTGAGAGCACCCTGGTATTTGCCAGACACAGAAATGTTATTAATGTGAGCCAAAGACCTCCAAGCTTTCAGCTTTCAGGCTCAAAGAAGACAAATCCCCTATTCCAAAACCAGATAAAAAAAAAGAGCGTGCAAATTTCACCAGGGAGACGTCAAATTTCATCCCGAATTCTACAGCACACATGGCGTGGAGGATACATTTTCAAAAAACTAAATTCACCTGAAGTGACAAAGGAGCAACGTTAACGAACGTGCCTGGCTGCAAACTGAAGGCAAATTGAGAAAAATATTTACACAGCTCACAACAGAGAAACATTCCGTTTCAAGTGACAGATACACTAACGGATTCAATACTCTGCCTGAAGTGTCTAGTTGGTCTTTAGCTACTGAAGCCACGGGCTTATAACAAACAGACCATTATCTAATAAGACCTGATGTACACCTGATTTTATTAAGCACTCATTTGGCTGGTTCAAGGCTTCTTAACACTTCACATTGTTCTTCACATTGTACATTATGAGACCAAGGTTTTTCAGTATCGTCCCTCGACTTTGGAATATTCTTCTGACCATATTAAAAATGCAGTTTCTTTTGACGTTTTTAACGTCTTACAATCTTAATCTTTTGCTTTAGTGTCTCAATTATATATGATTTTATTGTATGTTGTGCACACTGTTCTGATGTTTCTGGTCTACTTTCTGTAAAGTGGCTTGAGAATGCTCTGTATTGAAAGGCACTATATAGGTATAAAACTGATTGATCACTATTGCCAGAGCTAGAGAGGGAGTTCCTATAACAGAGGAATCACATAAGGACACTTGGTCTGCAGGCAATCTTGTTAGATATACCTAACACCCAACAAAATCTGCATCTCTCCTTTTGACTGTTATTACACAATACAGTACATTGTCAGGAAGCACACTAAAGGAAAAACACAAGCAACGGCCAGAGAACCTATACCAGAGGAGATTAAAAACAAATTCCAGTTACAATTATGGGACAGGGTAAAATATTTTAAGTAACACAATACCACAACATGTGGAAGATGTAAATAAGTGCAATTGTGATGAGCCAGAAAATCAAGAGAAGAAAGACTGAAAGAGATGGCAACAGATATTGCTCTTGGTCAAGGGAAGGGCTGAACCAATAAGAATGAACATACAGCAGTTATCACCAAAACATTTAGTTCTCTTCTGAAACGTGACAGCAGTGTGCTGTTGGGTGAAGTTCACAGCCACCCAGCCTAGCTCCATAACATCAAACAGACAAACATTGCAAAAGACTGAAATCTGACTGTAACAACCTTACAATTAAACAGCACAGTACACTAATTAGCATGACTGGCTCAAATTGCCAGTCAGCACTGAGGGGTAGAAAGGGTAGTTAACCAGGGAAAGGTTCGGAAAACATGATTTCGGAGCCTGATTGGGGGATTTGTTCAAACTGAGAGGGTACACACTTGTCTTTGGGGAACAAATGTTGTGTACTTTTAATGTTCTGCAGTGCGGAATTTCATCTCTTCCTACTACACTAATAAAAGAGGAACAGACTGTCCGCAGAACGTCCACTGGTATCCTGGGACATCACCTCTAGCAAATGGTGGAACGGGGAAAAGCAGGAGTATGCTCAACGCCCCTTAACACAAGGAAACTTCGGCAGTCATACCTCTGTTGTCTCGAAGACCCTGCTTAAGTATAAAAGTGTTCAATATCACGAGCTAGCTCAAGTATTCCAAATGTGGGAAACGACAGGAATTCTTTCTCGGGTTGTTTTTTTCCCCAATCTTGAAATCCCGAAGTGCCACATCTGGGACTTCAAATGTCTTCTGCCTGAACTGAGTCTTCCTGAGGTAGAACAGGAGACCCAGGCAACAACACTGACAGGACACGTGGTAGCACAATGGCTGAAAAGGCACACCTTTAGCAAAGATGCTCAAAACATGGCATAATAGCTTAACACACTTCTCATTTCAACAGCACCATTCATACAGTATGTGGATAAGAATTTATGACACGTCTGCAGATTCATGTCTATCGAGGATTGTAGTCTGAATCTGAATTGGAGAAGGCACACAAAAGCTGCAGAATTCTAGCTTCTTTTCAACTTTTCATTCTCAGTCCTGTACAATCATGACCTCGAGACTCAATAATACTGCATCATTTACACTGCATTTACTGCAGCAACTTCAATCAAGTACCTTTGCTCAAAGATACAACAGCATCCTTCCAGTCTTGAACCCAGAGCCCAGACCACTGCTCTACATCGCTGCCTTATTAAACTTATTAATTGCTTAAGGATTCATTTTAGTTTCTTACCGAGCAGGTTGAGGTGGAATCACTGACGTACAGTTTTACCTCGAGTCTAAAGAAATGCACTACCTTGCGGTGGCTCAGCTTTCATTTAGCTTTATTACAGAAGTACATTCAATCATAAAGCAAGACACTTTTAAAATGTCTATGATTTGTAGAATGGTGACTCTCAGATGCACCATAACTGAGGCGACAATGTTTCAGGCTGTAAAACAAATTATTCTCCAAACAGTGGCTGCTGACTTCAGACAATAAAAGATGGATATTGGATAGCTGGATTTCGATTCATAAGAAGATATTTTTTTACATGATACGGAAGCATATTCTGACATTGAAGTCTCAAAGCTCTTCTCTCCCTAACAAAAGGAGGACGCAAATCTTTATACGCACTGAAACAGCGGAGAAATGACCGGCGGTAATAAAACGGTAGTACGAAAAGGTTCAGGCTGATTAATAACGTGTTCAGGGTAGCACAATGATGCTGAGTGCCTGATCCGTACAGTGAGACAGGCCCCTTCTCTGTGCTCTACTTTCAATACGTCTGTATGCACTCAACACACATGGCGTTGTCGGCAGAGCTGCAGTTCAAAATGTGTGAATGAGAAAGGGATGACACCTCTGCAACAGCTGTTACAGTCTTTACGATCGTGCTTTCTCAACATTCAAACCCAATATCGATGAGCTTCGTAAAAAATCCCCGATAACCACAATAAAGGAACCAGCTTCTGTGTTTAGCTAAGGAAGCCGCTTCGCGATCGCTGGATTCGTCCGCTTTGTTACATAACTTTGTGGCAGTGAGGATGTGGGTTTGTCCAGAACCGGATCAGGATTGGAGATCACGATCGGGTAGTTAACTGGGACAGAAATGGAGCTCCCGTCCTAATGACAGCCACATTTTGAGTTCTGGTGCAGGACCACGCTCCCCTTTCACGCCAACCTGAATTTCTACAAAGTGATCCAGGACATCTTTTTTTCCCCCGAAAACGAGAGAGGAAGCATGTCACTTTGGCTTAGTTTACAAAATCCACTACCCCCGTCACACTGGAATTTTTATTTTTTTAAAAAAACCACTATACCGTATAAGCGAAAAGGCTTTCACAAACACAGGGAAGTCCAATCCCACTGACTGGGCTCTTATTTTTAATTTTACTCCCTGCACTCGGCCTAACCTCCTTCCTGATCCCCGGTATTTCCTGAACCCCTCCCCGGCCGTCTCCGTCAGCCCTAGGAGCTGCCCCCTCTGGACGGCCCCGGTCGGGATGACATTAACTTCCCCTTCCCGGGGCCTCGGTAGCCCTTTTTCAACTGTTAAATTACTCTCTATTTTTTTTTTATCTGAGTGTCGTGTACGTGGCTCAAGCGTTCAGAGAAGCAAGAATGGCTAACCTCTTCGCTTTTAAGGACCTCTTTGAACTCTCGTTTGATCCTCTGCACTGCGATGTTGGCCATGGCTTTGCCGTCTCCTCTCTGTCGCTGTTTGCTGATACAGGCCTACAGCTGCAGCGTCGCTCTGCTCCTCTTTTTTTTTTACAACAAAAACAGACACCCCCCCCCCCTACCCGCACACAAATGGCGATCCGCGGAGTCTGCGCACTGTGCCAAAAGAACAATATGTTACAAACTGGAATAAAACAACTTCCTTCAGGGATGTGCTAGGTATTCTGAGATGTAATATGTGTCATGTTTTTACGGATTCCGAGGAGAGGAGCTCTGCTTAAGGGCGTTTTCCCATTCCGGGGCTACACAGTCAAAGCTAGGCGTTTTATTATAATAATGTCACTACTCAACTGAAATAGGTGCTGGAGCATAACCTGCTTAGCTTATTTTTGTAATCGATTTGTTTTTTTTCCTTCCAGGTGTGAAGTTCGAGATAGGGCCCATCTTTTGCACATATTTAATTCTGTGCTTTTTATATTTGTATTTTATTTACATTTTATCTACGTTTCCACCCACTACATACACGAACATGAAATTCAGTGAACGATATTTTTGCCGAATGATTAACCGAGTGTGTGGCAATATGTACTACAAACGGAGGAACGCGGGACCATTTTAGTTGTAAAAAAGTGCTGTACGAAATTTTAATGTAACAAGTACAGAGGGGCCTATGAAAAGTCTCATTTGAAAGATTTCGATCTTTACAGCACCTTGCCCCCCAACCAAAAAGGAAAAAGGCCAACCAACGAAGGAACAAAAAAAAGTCCGGCAACCAACCAAATTTCCCTTTAACGAACAAGCCAAAGCCTGCCTAACCTCCGAAAAGGGAAAAAAACCAAGTTTAAAAGGGCAAAAAACAAAAAAAAAAACAAAGGGAACCAAAATTGGCAAAAACCGGGGTCAAATAAAGAACCAAAAAAAACTCCAAAAACAAAAACGCAAAAACGTTAAGAACGGAAAAAAAAAAAAACAGAAATACTGCTAACTACCTCAGACTTAATTCATGTCTCATTAGGTCTACATAGAACAATTCTAGATTGCTGTTTTTACCACTCCGAATAACCACTCCAAACTACTCCCCAAAACATCTCTCTGAAATCTAGGCCTCCAGGAAGTAACAATGGGCTAGAGATTAGTGGTGCAGCATATTCAGCAGTCCATCAGTGAAGCACTGACCTTTTGACCTTGTGCAGTACTGATACACAACACAAAATGGAAAACAAAGAGTACAGCAGGGCAAGTAAGAGAGAACCACCGAGAAGACAGTTGCCAATAATACAACCCCGAGCGCCATATTTATTTATTGTATCCTGAAAATTTCATATGAGCATACAGAATGTGACAGAATAGCTCTGAAGTTCAAACCCTTTAACAATGCTACACAAGTACAGCCCAATCCAAAATTAATCCAGAATAGTCTCCACGCTGCACACAAGATATGATTCACAAAAGCGTCACGCAAACAATGATCATTATTTAACAATGTTACAGAAATAAAAAAGCTAACATCTTTCTGTTTTGTTCCTAAGGTTTTGTGTGAGAGCTTCGCTTTGGATGCTGACATTCCCTGTCAGAGCCCAAATTATTACACTTAATAAAGAGTATGTCTGGTCAGATGGCAATGATATCATTTGAGTCCTGCATTGGACCCACACTAAACTCCTTTGATTGAATGTAAAGTTGAAAAGATCATGATTACGAGGAGGAGGCCCAAGAATATGTCCACAGGGGCTTTGGGGAGACCCCAAAAGTTCCGCTCTTTAGATTGTTTCTGTTACTCACGAAAAAAAAAGCATTTGCTGTTGTGTCTCCTTAACGGTTTAAAAAAAACACGGAAGAGCAATTCCTTTGAGAATTATTTTGCAATTTAAAAGTTTAAATTCCAGAATCAAAATCAGCTTTTTTTTTAAACATCGAGTCGGGGAAACTAGTCTCCTATGCAAAGCCGGCACTTATTTGCATGTGTGGGTCTATGCAGGTCATGTTTTAAACGAAAGCTGCAGTCTGAACTGCAGGCATACTTCCTCATTGCAGAAGAAAAAGGCTTGTTAACGATCTCATGGTTATCTCACAGAAACCAAGTCAGCAGTAATGCCTCCATATTTACATGTACATTATAGCTCCATACTAAATGTGAAAAGAACAAATGTTGATTTCTCACAACACCATCTTGGCCCCTGAATTCACCTTGCTTCATCTGAGTCAACTCTGTAATATTCACAAAGAATTTCAAAGTACACCTTGAAAACCCAAACTTTGACAAAGTGACTCGTTTGGAAAGTGGCTCGAGTCCATATACACCTGTTTTTGTGTTTTATATTATTTTCTCTTTAAAACAGTTACTACCATTTAAGTCCCTGTTGCTTAGTCTGTATTTTAAAAACCAGATTGCAGCTTAGGAAAGTTGCATCACCCCTGTTTAGACAATACAATGGGCATCAAATTTTTCTACTTCAAATTAACTTATACATACATACATATACTTATATACAGCTGTTGCACCTGTGGTGAGAGTGAAACCATCCACCTAACAGCTCTGGAGTTTCAGCTGTAAATACTATACTCTTATTTTGTTAATGTCACATTCAAATAACTTTATTGGTGTGACTTTTGAAATGCCCTGCTGCCAAGCAATATCAATTAGTAAACATTAACACACATTCCGGACAATGATATAATATTGTATTGAAACTTTCTCTTAGTTCCTCAGACTGTGACAGGAGATTACATATTGGGATACCAGCTCTATTGAATTTCATCCCCCCCTTCCCTAGTTGTTTAGGGTGAATGGAGATGTGCACGCAAGTTCATTCGGTGAGGAAGCACAGAAAATAACATACCATACTTTTCTCTGGAATGACAGGTCAGGAAAACCAAAAATTATGGAAAAAGCAAGTCAAGTGGAGAAAAAGAGCTTAAATAAAAAATGTCCCTCAGGGGAATAATAATAAATAAAAATCTTATCTTAAACCTACATAAATGGCTGACTCTGTGCTCTGACCCCAAGCTTCTCTCCCTGTCTGTGTTTCTCATGAAGAGGTACAGTATGTTCAAGCTGAGGTATGTGAAAAGACAAATTCATAGTATAAGAAAATGTATTTGGCCATTAAAGTGATCTCTTATGTCACAGCTGGCCTGGACACGGCCCTGAGCAGAACTTGCAACAACTTGAAGATCATGGAGAAGCCCAGCCAAAAACAAGACTTTAAACACTAGGACAATGCTGGCAAGAGAAAAAGTGTTCCTTTTCACTGTCCAACCTTCTTCTCTTTGACTAATAAGCCCGAAGGGGCTATGGACCTGTGCCACACCAGCTTCTCAATTGTATGTGACCTGCAATAAATAATAAAAAGGCTGCATGAGCTAAAATCCTGCAAAAGAATGGCTTGATGGATCTTATTTTATTATCCCCGCAGAGGTGACTCACAGAGGTCTTGACCAATGAAAGATCGCTGCATTAAACTTACATTTTTTTATTCAGCTTTCCCCAATTATCCACTTTGCTTTTGCTTTTCAGTGTCATACATTCATACGTCTTCCTGTCTTCTCTCTATTTATAATAATAATAATAATAATAATAATAATTGCTTATACTTATATAGCGCTTTTCTGGACACTCCACTCAAAGCGCTTTACAGCTAATGGGGATCCCCTCCACCACCACCAATGTGCAGCCCCACCTGGATGATGCGACAGCAGCCATAGTGCGCCAGAACGCTCACCACACACCAGCTATCAGGGGGGAGGAGAGCCGAGTAATGAAGCCAATTCACAGAGGGGGATTATTACGAGGCCATGATTGGTAAGGGCCAATGGGAAATTTGGCCAGGACGCCGGGGTTACATCCCTACTCTTTTCGAGAAACGCTCTGGGATTTTTAATGACCACAGAGAGTCAGGACCTCGGTTTTACGTCTCATCCGAAGGATGTACAGACGCTACTGTACTTTTAAAATGGTTGCCTGAGAACCCTCTGGTCATGAGGAATTTTAAGTAATCCAGATTGAAAACTCCAGCCAATAATTAATTTGCAAGGTCTCAGTCAGATTTTAACTAAATACCTCCGGGGGGGGCGGGGGGTCGCTACGACTACTGTCTCTGTTCCTCTGTCCTCATTTTCGTTTGTCAAAATTTAAAAACAAAAGCACCTGCTCAGAAAGGTGTTTCCTCACAAGTATGCAAAGCAATTCCGGAAAGATGAAGCATGTGACAATGTCTTCTGTCAAGTTCATCGTCATACTTGGAACAATTTGAAAAAAAAAACACAATGAATGAAGCTTTGTTAGAATTTCGATATTAAGTGATTGGTAAGCGTCATTACCATATTCTTCATAATAACACGCTACAAGAAAATGTAAAAAGGATTGATCACAAAGTAGCAGTACTGGTACTGCAGGTCTCAGTGGCCCAATACGTGCCGATCCGCAATGCTCTGTAATAATTCAGCCTCCGCGAGTTTTCTTTACACGTTTCGTCCTCGTATCAGCAAGACACGTAAAAGAACTTAACTGTTACGTGTGGGTTTTTTTTTTAAATTCCACCTTTTTAAGATACTTTATTTGAATAAAAGCACCCTGTGAGAAGGAGAGCAAATATTTGCATCCCTCAGCGCCACCCAAGCCTCCAGCGCCTGCACATCTGTATCTGTAGGACCAACGGATCTTTAATCTACGCATCAGCGGCTGTGCTCAGCGTTACGAGGCCGTGCGAGACGCCACTTGCAGGTCAACAGACAGCTAAAAATACCCAGACCGGACGTTTGGGTTACTGTCGGGGCTTTTCCCACTATTTTCATGAACAGATCCGCCTGGCCGCGCAGCGCAGCGCAGCCCGACGCGGCTGTCGGAGGCCGCCTGCGAGGAGGCGTCTTGCGTGAAACCCGGATCTCTCGCGTTACAGGAGTGACGTGGACGATTGTATCCAAACAAGACTGCAGCTGCGGGGTGTGCAACAGCAGCAGCAGCAGCTGGGTCCTTTCCTGGTTTGGGCAGTGTTTCGGGGATCGCCGGTGCTGGGAAGAAAAAGTGGATTGTCTGCTAATTTTAACGACTCACCCAACCCTTCGTAGTCTCGGGCGTCACTCGTCGTTTTTCGTAAGTTGTCAGTTTTTC